CTGCTACATCCATCCCCAGTATCTCAAAAATTCTTGGAACATAGATACTCAATAAATAATTTTTGAATTAATGAATGAGAAATACCCGAGTGCTTTCCTCTAGCTCCGAGGTTCTTAGTGATTGCTATATATAGGTTTTGGATTTTATTGCCTCAATAAGTTACATTGGAAACTACTTTTTCAAAATGAAGTAGTCTCAGATTTCAAGAATTACAAGGTGCTTTATTAGAAAATATATTGCAAAACCTTGATTTCAAATTGACCAAGCTATTTAGCAAGAGTTTCATTTGTTTGCTTAAAAAAAATCTGGGATTCAAGTTCATCCCTTAGATTAAGTCACCACTGACAGAGAGGGTTATTTCTGAGAAATAAAAATTGAAAATCAAGCATCTCTTGTTACAAATTTTGCATTTTATTTCCATGTCCTAATTTCTGGTGACTTGAGACTACATAGAGATGTTATACAGATTTTCTCAATAACTTTAGAATAAACTTATGTGTGATCAAAAGATCTTTCTGATATCAAAATAACTTTAATCACCTTTACTAATTATTAACCAGAGCTAAACATAGGTTTTGCAAATACAAACTTGTCATTTCACCATAAACTGTTACTTTTTGATGGAGTTCAGCAAAGAGCAAATCTACATCTTGGCTAAAAGACTTCGCCTTCGGAGAACTGTAAGACATACGTAAATAACTCCATCAGACCCCATGCACAGCCGCCCTGCTCTTGCAGATTAAATTTAGCACAGTTGGCGAGTTTGAGAGTGTCCTAATGAAACGACAATTTTAGTAACATTTAAGAAAAGTGCAAGAGTTACATTTTGTCTTAAAAACTACTTTTCCTTGTAAATCTTCAAAATGCCTCTTGTAGTTTTATTCGTCTGTTTTAAGAGGATGTACATTGCTTCATAGAGATTTCTATGACTGTATTCACCAGCAGTTTAGGATTATAAACTGAAAACACGTCTTACTTTACTATTACATTGTAGTATCCATAGAAAAAGTATTTACACTGTAAAAGTGTCAATAAAGCTACTTGTCCCAACGTGGATTGCTACATATACATCAAATCACCACTATCAGAAAGAAACTTTGCAATTTGTCTTAGTCAGGATACGAAGTCAGGATTAAAAACAACAACAACAACACTGCCTTTTGCAAAATACAGGTGCTGAAACTGGTATGTTAATTTACTGGGTCAGCAGACTACCTATAAAACACAATTCCCTAAAGGTGGGCAGCGGGTGGATCTGGCTTACAGACAGCACTAACTAAATACTTCTTGAAAAAATGAATGAATGCAAACTGAATTGACCTGGTCAGGAGCAAGCAAGAATTATCAGAAAAGTCAAAGGCAGGAATGGCCATTCTTATATGCAAAGGATGACATCCTTCTGTCCTCAGAACAGCTAATGAATATTCTTACTCTGGAGTCTCTTTTTCTTTTAGTTTTCTAAATTATACTGAAAATGATGCTTGTCTATTAGTTTGGAAACTTCTTAAATTCTATTATTTTAGCAATAGAATACCTATTACTGTTATTACTATTAATAGAACTATTATTACTGCTATTAGTAGTCCTAACAATATTGCTATTATTACTAATGGTAATATTCTATTACTATTCTATTATTTAAGTAATAGTAATTTTAGTAATAGAATTCCTTGAAGCTGCATTTTTCTGAAATGATCACTTCAGCTTCTTTTTTTTTGTCACCCAACTTTTGACCATTTTCTATATTATTAATGGTCTATTCATTCTGAATCTTTAAATGACGATGCAAAGCAGTATGGGACATCTTCAGTGCATATGAGAGAAAATTTTCAAAAGGGACCCATAGTCAAATGCATTAGACTTACATTTGATTCAAATCATTGTAAAACACATTTCCTGTGTCCTGATTGGCAGAACAAATTAAGCAGAGTGAACACCCAGCATAGAACCTACACTGGGTCATTCACACTAACCAGCAGGTCAGGGTTTACCCCTGTGGACATGGGAGATGCTAGGGCCTCACACCACCACAGCCTGGAAGCTTCAGTATGACCATTAGCCTTGTCCTGGCAACCTATGGATTTGAGAGACCATTACATTTGAAATGGTGTTCAAATCATGTTCCCCAAATAGAAAGTATAGACAATAAAATGCTGAAAATATATATTCATATCTATGTACACAAACACAGACACATGCATGCTTTCATTATTTCTTAGATTTTACAAAGGGTTTTATGTACTCTGCTGAGTTGTGTATGTGGTTTATGATCTAGGTCTTGGTAGTCTCTTCCAACACCCACTCAAAAGGCTTCATTGTTCTTGTTTTGTTAAAATCCATGTGACATTTTTATTGCATAGAGTAGTTTGCATGATGACTTCTATATATCTAATACCAGCACACTCTGATCTAGAAATTTATCTTTGGAGAATAAGTAGATAAATGTCTTAGGTTACATATAGAACAGACAAATGAAGCTCATCTCTGGGAATCTTTTTCCTTTTTTTTTTCTTTCTTTCTTTCTCTTTTTTTTTTTGGCTGCTGGCCAATGCAGGGATCAGAAACCTTGACCTTGGTGTTAAACACTGAGCTCTAACCAACTGAGCTAAACAACTAGCCCAATCTCTGAGAATTTTGATAACCTATCTTACTTGGTTTGATTTAGTGACAGTGCTGTTTTTCCATCTCTGTATATTCTTTCGATAGGTGTGAGCTAATTTGTTTTTTATCATTTGGTGACATCCTGAGATAATTGGATTGAGAGTTACTGATCTACACTGTAATTGGAGAATGGGTATTACTTGTTTTCAACTTCTAAATTTCAACTAAAATGAGGATTTTTTAAAAACTCTTTTTTAATGAGTACTCATAATTGGCCTTGTTTGTGTGTGGCTGTTAGTTGCTCTAACCTTAATGACTCATTTATAGAGAATGTTTCCTAAAGATGTCCTTTTCATCTTTGGACTAGGCAACAGTAATTTACTTAATTTATCTTAAATTTGGTTTCAGTGAGCAACCCTAATTAACCTGATTTTTTGCTGATAATCACTCTCAATGGAATCAAATCACAAATCCGGGGATGGATTGAGCGGCACCCAGAAGGAAGCAGCCCTCCGCGCACTGGTCCAGCGCACAGGATATAGCTTGGTCCAGGTAGGAACTTCTTGTAACATCTGCTGACACTCACCACTGAGTTCACAGAGTGGTGGAAATATCAGTGGTCCTAAGATGCAAAACGTGAATGGCTCTTGTGTGACTCTTTAGATGACTGTCGGTTTCCAAAAGAGAAGGAAATTACATAGTTTCTGTTTTGTAGGTGATCCTGCAGATGACATTCTTTCTAGTCTGGGTTATCAATTCAACCTTAGCTTGTCATTTGAAAGCAGAAACAGTGTCCACAGTCATAGAAACTATCAGAGTTTTGAAAGGCCATTGTAGTATATGAAAAGGCAGCTGGAGTTTACCGCCCAAGACTGTGAAGTAGAACCAAGCTAGCGTTTCATGGATCAGCAGAGAACAAACTATGCAGGAACCAGTCTTAGTTTCCAGAAGATCATGCAGATGTAGAAGGACTTCTAGTTGTGGGATACAAGGAATAAGTATTTTGTCAGCCTATCTATTCTAGATTGTTTTCTAGAACACCTGCCCACCCAATATAGGATACATTATTTCTTCCTTTTCAACACTTTTGAAAAGGAAGAAAGAAAAAGCCACAACCTTAAACCCTATTTGTAGACGTGGGTTGTTAGGAATTATCTATATATTATTATTGTCCATATAATAACTTTCTTTAGAGAATTTATGATGCATTAAAAAGCAAACTGGTGTTGGATACATCAAAGCAGCAGACCAACCCATTGCTCACCTTTAGATATTTCAGGAGCGAGTTAGACTCACCAGCCTAGTGTGTTCCCCAAACGCAAAGGCAGGGAGTACATATCAAGCTATCTGTGGTTTGCTCAGTACTCCTTTTCCCTGCTTTGTACAAAATGAGAGGCACCTCCCAATTCTTTCCGCTTAAGGAGTACTAGCACTCACAACAGAACAGTGATTGTTTCCAAATATCTTTGTGCAAATTCTCAAAACTCCTGTCAAACTCTCCAATCTCTTTTCTAAGCTTGGAATGTTGTGAGGGAGTTAAAGAATGCAAAAACAGTTTCCTGCTACCTCTGCTCCTGCGTGGTGCTCGGGTGACTTGGTTTTGTATCTAAACCAGAGGCCCAAAGAGCCCAATTCCATCTTAAAATCCTGTTATGAATGAAATAGTATTCAGTTACTAAAAGTGATCACTTAAAAAATTCTGCAAGAAAGAAATTGTGACATGTTATTTTTATAGCTATATAAAAGTCTGCAAATAAAATTTTTTAAAGAAAGAGACTCAAATAGCAATAGAGATCATATTACTCCATTGTAAAATTTGACATTGTAGAACCTAAAGCTATGATTTAAGAACATTTTCATGGTAACGAAAAAACCAATATATTATGATTTGTAATGTTTTCATATAAAATACTTCTAAAATATATGGCCAACCTGCATATTACATAATAGTAAACATTTATTGGGCACTTATATTCTAACTGCTTTGTGTATATTCATTCATTTAATCCTTACCACAACATTATGAGGTAGCTACTATGATCACCCCCAATTTCCTGGTGAGGAAAACAAGGCATAAAGAGGTTAGGTAACTTGCAAGATCAATAGACTAGAATTCTACTGCTATTGGCTGAAATTTCCAGCTAGATTTAGAGAATTTAGTTGTTATAATGTGATCTTTAAGATTGCAGTTTTAGAGATTAGCGTGCCAGGGCATGCAGAAAACATTTTGCTGGAGCTAAACTTTGTAACGTGATTCACTTTTAAGTAATATTTGTTAGCGGAATGACTATTGGACCAGGAGTTCACCAGTAATGTAGAAGCCTAAAACTACAAAATTTAGTAATCTAGACCTAAAACCTCTAACCAAAATATAAATACATGTATGATTCAATCATTTTGAATGAGTTGGAAAGTCCCTCCTGATTTTGGCTGCAAAGTGTGGAAAATCACTCAAGACTTCAAATCAGAAGGCCTATAATCTAACCTGGTCTCTACCCCTGAGTTGTATGAAGTTGAAGAAGTCCCTTAACTGCTCTAAGCCTAATTTTCCAGCAGGTCAGCTAGGTTCTTTCCTACCCTATTAGCAATAATTTTGTGATTCTAGTATCTTCTGAATCTAGTCATTGGTCAGAAATCTGGACTATTTAGTTGAAAGAGTAGACCAGGCATGTGTCGAGACGTAGCCTCAAACTCTTTATAACTTAGTCTACTTCAGTTTTTCTACTCTGGATTATAGGAGTGATTAATATGATTATAAAAAAAAGGTGATATCAAATTTAGTTTTTAAAAATCTCTGTACAAAAGCTGGAATAAACAAACATCTTAATACAATTCAGGGAGCATACCCACTAGATGATAGTTTAGAATTTTGTTATATTTGCTAAGTTAGAGTTTAAAAGATTTACTTTTGCTGTATGTTTGCAGTCTCTGATATTGAATGTTGAATTCTTGCAAAACAAGAATTCAAAAACAGTGAGTGACGAATTTGTGCTCTCTTATCACTAGCAGGACAAATACAGCTGCCAAAAATAGTATTTTGCAAGTTACTTAACAACATAAGCCAGTCTTTTATATAGCAACTGATGCAACAGTGCATTCTTGTGAGGATTCAAAATTATCCTCTGTGATATCTTTTTTTTTATAATTGGATACATTTGGATATTAATGGCTGAATATTTTATCAAAGCACATTAGAGAATATTTAATGCAGTTCCCTGCATATAGTAGGCACTGAATAAATATTATTAATAAAAATGATGTAATGTTGACATGTTAAACTTTAAGCTTTATAATTGTATTGTGCCATATAGAAATATTTTGGAAGGAAGTGTGCTACAATGTTAACATGTAAACAGTCTTTGTGTCTGGATAATGGAATTATTGTTGGGGTTTTTCTTTTTTTTCCTACTTTTTCACTCTAAACTGTATTTCCCAGTCTTTGTAAAGCTAATATATATTTCTTTGAGAGTCGAAGAAAAAGATCACATTATGATGATCCTTTTCTCAAGAATGCATTAGTGATGTGGGTCATAAACTCTATGGCATGTGATTGTTCTCCCACCTGTAGTTTTCTCCTTAGAACTAAGAAAATCCATTCTTGTGGATAAGCATATTCAGAAAAGTTTCCACCCAACATGGAACTGAAGCTAAATATATACTTAATAAAGATCACACTCAAGTTGAATATTTTTTAAAAGTAGACTCAGGATACTTATTTTAAATGACTTAAAATATGGAGTGCATTAGCATTGTTTAATTGTACTATTGATAATCTGTTTTCTAAAAATCATCACAGCAAAATCAATTTTTATGAGATATGCTAGACCCATTGCTTTCTTAAACCAGTGGTTGACCCGAATAAACATCAAGGTTTTGTTTTTGTTTTTCTGTTTTGTTTCCCAAGTTTCTAGTCTTGAAAACAATGTGTTAGTGTTAGACTTTGGGAATATAGAAGTATAAAATGTAGTGTCTGACCTAAACCTCTTATAAAGTAGATGAGATGAAAATTAATTTATCCAAAATGAAAGATGTCAGCAAAAGGCACCTTCAAATGAGATATACAGCTGTGGGTACCACAACATATGAGGGTTTTTTGTATAAAGCCTTAAAATTGACCATATTCTTTGACCTAAGAAATGAGGATAAACATTTAGACATAAGGATGCTCATCATAGTGGGATTTATAATTAAAAAAAAATAAAATGTATCCTTAATGTCCAGTAAAATATTAATGGCCAAATAAAATATGACCATCCCTATATTTCCAAACTACATAGTAATGTAAAACTATGACTTCTAAAACTTTTCAAAGACATGGAGAAGTATCCAAATTTAAACAATTAAAAGTCTGAATGCTACATGTAAGTTTCCAAATAATATTTTTAAAAATTATTCACATACAATAAAAAACATTGGAAAATAACAAAATATAGTCTCTGATTTAGCAATTTTTTCTTGCTTTATGTGCTTCTTTATTTTCCAAGCTTTTTATGATGAATGTGAGTTGTTTTTATTATGTGAAAAATCTCAAGAAGTGGAAAACAATCTCTAAAAATCATTCAGTTAGTAGTTAAAAAAAAAAAAAAGGAAAAATTTTATGGGAAAACTTTGTTATTAAAGTTGGATGACAAATCTACCTGAGTTCATTAAGCTATTTTATCTAATTCTTTATATGTTTTAAATTTGTTTAATATTGACATAGTCCAACCCTCTTATTTTGCAGCTAGAAAATAAGCCCCAGAGTCATACAATTATAAGGAAAAATTTTATGGGAAAACTTCGTTATTAAAGTTGGATGACAAATCTACCTGAGTTCATTAAGCTATTTTATCTAATTCTTTATATGTTTTAAATTTGTTTAATGTTGACATAGTCCAACCCTCTTATTTTGCAGCTAGAAAATAAGCCCCAGAGTCATACAATTATAAACCGGGGGTCAGAAAACCATGACCCATGAGCCCAATGCTGCTACAGCCTGCTTTTATAGTCACTGCAGGCTATTAATGGTGTTTACATTTTTTAAGGTTTGTTTAAAAAACCAAAGCTTAAAATATCAACTATTTGGCCTTTTACAGAAAAAGTTTGCTGACCCCAATTCTGATTCCTTAATCTAGCACTCTAATCCACAGTTTTTTTAAAGAAAATTCCCTGTAATGGAGAAAAATGTTTAAGCTTCCTTAAAGGGAGTAGTTGCATCCCTCTTTGTCCTGCCCACTTATGCCAACTTGAGCACTGAGCCCTCATTCATTCATTTATTAATCCATCTATTGATTCTACAAAAAGAGACATGGTTTCTGCCTTCATGAAAATTATACTTATGGGTAAGATAGAAAATGAAGAAAGAAAGAAAGAAACTAAATAATTAAAGATGATGGTAAAGATGATGTTATAAATCAGCTTGTGTGACAGAGAATGGCAGTTTGACCTTCTTCAGGCAAAAGGACACTGAAGCTGAGACTTACAGGATGAGAGAAAACAAATCTCTCAAGGAGCCAAGGAGAAAACAGCATTCATGGCAGAGGGGNACTTGAGCACTGAGCCCTCATTCATTC